AACATCTCCGGTTTCAGCAGAAGATTGCGATTACTTGTCTGACGGCTCTGAAATGCCTCATGATGCAGGTGAGACCTGGTCTGAGCCAGAAAGCGACTCGTTGCCTTACGATGACAGCGACTTGCCTTACATGGACGAAGGAATGGGTTGCAAACTCGGGTTAGAAACAGATGTGAGGGAGCTAAATTGTGAAAATGGAGCTCCTCTCAGCGGTTCTTATCCTGATACCGAACGGGGGCAGGACGTTGGTCTGTCTCGGACTACGATTATTTGGGAGAATCAGGATGACGATCAGATTGGTCTTTCCACAATTATAGAGGAGAACTTTGAGGAAATAGATGAAATATCACTTTCTTTAGAAGAAAATGAGGAAATGTCTCCTACTGATGAAGGTTTAGAGGACGTAGACGGTGAAACGTCCGTTTTTTCAGAAGGAGAACTGAGTGAGGGCGACACATCTTCAGATTCAGAGGAAAACGATGATTTGCTCTCCGACAGCTTTGAAAGTCTTGATGGAGACGAAACTAGTTGCTCCGAACAAGAAGACGAAGATTCGTTGCCTGAAGACGAAAGTCACGCTGAATACTCGACGTCTGCGAGCCCTGCGGCTGAAACGTTCGTTTCAGAGCAGAAACCAGATGAAGGTAATTCTTCTCCTAGCTGGTCGCCCGACTCTTGTCACTCTGATGGTGAGGATGAAACACAGGATGCTTTAAATGATGATGAAGAGGAAACATCTTTGGTTACGGAGGACAGATTTAATCACAAGCCTGATGATTCTGATGCAGGTGAGACAATTAGCTCCGTTTTAGAGGTCCATGTGGATTTATCGCCTGAAGACACGAGTGGCCTTACAAGTGGGCAGGCTGTGATAAAGAGGTTCAATGAGTTAGATGAATTTTTGTTGGCGTTTGGTCTACAGGATCTGGTCTGTGACAAGGTGGCTTCTGCTAGCTCGCCCTCCAGCTCAGGAAAGGAACTGGATGAGGATGATGTAGACATAAATTGGTCAGATATTATAGAAGAAGTAGCTAATGGGTTAGGATTAGATGCAAATGCGGTTAAAAGGTTGTGGGATTGTGTGAACAAATGTAAAACATCTCAGAGAAGAGAAGAAAGCATCGTTGAAAACGTGAGTTCAGGTGAGGATGAAGACGGAAGATCTTCATATGAGAAGACAAGTGTGAATGAAGCTCTTCCAAGCACGTCCTCCGGGATCTCGTACGAGCCAACCCCGCATCGTCAGAGGGAAAATAATGGATGTAAGGTTAAAGAAAAACCATCAGTGAGTGCAGGAAAGAGTTCAGGAGTAAATAAAAGTGGAACCTCCATCACAGGAGCCAAAGCTCGGAGGTCTCTGGTTTCTGGCAGAGAGACTGAACCAGAGTCCTCGCAGGTAAGCCAGTCTAAAGCATCAGTCACACCTGGAAAACACCTGAAGGGACTGAAGGAGAGGTGGGGTATGTTTAAGAAGAAAATTAATTTTTTTAAACTTAGAAGGTCAAGAAAATAAAATCTCTAAAAAAAATAGTAGATGCACACATATTCTATAGGTGCTTTTTTAGGTTTAGGCTCACTTGGGTGTGCGGTGTGCAGAAAGGATTACTGGAGGTGAGCTGCCCTCCCTCCAGGACATCTACAGGAAGCGGTGCCTGAGGAAAGCGGGGAGGATCATCAAGGACTCAAGTCACCCCAGCCATAAACTGTTCAGACTACTTCCATCAGGAAGGAGGTTCTGCAGCACCCGGTCCAGAACCAGCAGACTGAGAGACAGCTTTTTCCATCAGGCCATCAGACTGCTGAACACGGCGCAGACACCTCACCCTCACTACTGAAACTCCAACATTACACACTCCATACTGTACATTAATGCCACTGCTCTGCACATACCAGCCTCTGTATATTTTATATCTCTCATCTTATTGTTTACTTTATTCATTTGTAAAACATGTATATACACACTATACACACACTCACACGTAGAAAAAAATACTAGCACACACATTTAGTAATGTATATACCTTACATACTATACATATTATTACTTAGATTAGCCATTTTTATATTTTACTTGTTTTTACGTTACTGTATTTTTGCACAACTGTTGCTGTGAAGCTCGCACACAAAAAGTTCACTCGCATGTACTGTACCAGTGTACCTGCACGTGTGACGTGACAATAAAAGTGATTTTGATTTGATTTGACTTGGTGACTCAGAACCGAGAAGCTGTTTAGATTTCACTAGCAAGTAGAAAAAATAGAAGCAAGAACAGCAACATTTTTATAAAACTTACGTATTTTCTATCAAATAAAATTAAAATTAAAAAAACTATTTATAAAAAACACAAATAAACCCAATTAAATAACACACCAAAAAAAATAAATAAAACATCCCTCCCGCAGAATCGCCACCTTATCGTGGTGGGAGGGTTTGAGGACCTCCACGTTCCTGGAAGCTGTGTTGTCTGGGCTATCAGTCCCTGTTAGGGTCTCCATGGCAGCATGGTCTCAGGTAGGCGGTCGGACTAAGAGCGATTCAAACACCTAAAGAGGAAAACTCCTCTATATGGATGACAAGAGCGAGCTCTTCCATGTAGAGAAGGTGCTGTCCACGGCCAGCCGTGTTGATTATTTGATAGACGGGGATCTGACCTCTGCAGGACAGCAGTGGGGACATGGCGTCTCCGTGGTATTTGATGGAGACTTGTGCGCTCTTCACTTAGACACTGAGGGCTGTGGGGGGAAGAGGGGTGGTGTGGCGGCATCAGCTGGCTCCAGGAGTATGGGGTGAGTGGCTTTCTGTTAACGGCCATTCAGTCCCTTTACCACAGGAGCGTGAGTTTGGTCCGCACAGCCGGTAGTAAGTCGGACCTGTTCCCGGTGAGGGTTGGACTCTGCCAGCAGGGCCAGATTAACACTTTGCTGTACCCTGGGCAACAATATTCGAGGGCCCCATCATCACAACCCAAGGATCACCATAATAAGGTCACATACAGAATATATTACTGTAATATGCAGTAAATATACTCAATACTTAAATGCCTGACATCACGTAACACGCTCAGGGTAACCTTTGACCCACCTCGTGTGGACTGACCAATGAGGAGAGGGTCTTAACTTGAGGCCCTCTCTTCATTGGTCAGTCTGCATGAGACTGACTCTCAACTGACGTTCAGTCGTAGGCAGCGAAGCGTCTATGTGCAGCGCAAAAGCCCGGGTGGACAGTTTGTTTAATGTAGGGTGATCATATTTCCATTTCCAAACAAGAGGACAGGGGATCTGTGCCTATGACGTCACACTATGGCAACGCCACACAAACCATGTTGGGACCCATTTTTTGTAAGAACTAAATTAATATCAGATTCTGCCAATTAAAGGGCTCTAAAACAATTCATATGTAAATATTTAGCATATTTATTGCAAAATCTCCTTTTTCTGCTTTAGTGCTGCAACAAGGTTTTATTAATAATAAATTATTATACCTTTTGTTTTACTACAGCATCGGTACGCTTCCTGTGCACAGATTATTAAGGATGCTTGTTTCAGCTGTGAGATTAGACGATAGGATCAATGAAAAAACAAGTTGTCACACACTCCATGGAAACTTTCAGAGAATCCACAAATAGTGGCTTTCAAATGTTTTTTTTTATTACTTTTTACAAGTTTATAAAAGCAGCAGATGAGACAGCATGTCTGATAATTTAGTTTTTCATCTGATAATATTAGAACATGTCAGTGATGTCTGAGGGGCTTTTATAAACACTGTATAACTAACACTCCTGGAGAGGGTATGAATTACACAGAGGCTTCTGGGGAGCCCAGTTATGGGGTGGGGGTGGGGGCATTTAGACTTGGCCCCCAAAATGTCTTGAAACGGCCCTGGGTGTGTGACTGAGTTTTGAAGGTGATCTGAATTGTATCAGATGTATAAATATGACATGTGTATAACTTATTGTTTTTTACTGGTAGAAACGTGTAGTGGAGATAAATCTACCTACATTTTACTTTTTGTTTTGTTTTCTTGTTTTTATTAAACTATTTCCTGTCTGTCTGTCTCTCATCTTCCTGCATCTCCTCTAAACTCTCCAGAAAAACTGCTGCCTGGATTCTTACCTTTTCACCTCATCAGTTACTTCTGAGCAGATCAAAGGGATCTCCTGACCGTAGCGGAGAGCACGATTCGATGCTGCGTCAGTGAGGTGAAATCACCGCAGCACAGGTGATGAGCTCCGCAGTAGCAGAGCGCTTCAGGCACAGATAAGACAGAAAGTAGAGAACATGTGTGGACATGAACGATCGTGTGCTAATTATAGTTTTTTGGTTGCGCCACTTTGAGAATGGACCGTGCGCTGGAAGCAGCAGCCTGGAGCGCTGCACAACAACGTGCTGCACTGCTCTCTGTGCTCTCTGCTCAAAAGAGTCCATAAATGATGTAAATGGCCTGTATTTGATATAGCGCCTTCTAGAGTTCTTGAAACCCCCCAAGGCGCTTTACAACACAATCAGTCATTCACCCATTCACACACACATTCACACACTGGTGGGGATGAGCTACAATGTAGCCACAGCTGCCCTGGGGCGCACTGACAGAGGCGAGGATGCCGAGCACTGGCGCCACCGGTCCCTCCGACCACCACCAGCAGGCAACGTGGGTTAAGTGTCTTGCCCAAGGACACAACGACAGTGGCAGACTGAGCGGGGCTCGAACTTGCAACCTTCCGATTGCGGGGCGAGCGCTTAACTCCTGTGCCACCGTCGCCCCAGGACCTGTAATATAGGTAGAAAACTTTTTTCCGGCTCCCCCGGATGTGTAGGATATACAGCTCCCCCATAATTCGATCCCTGCTCCTGGATGAAAAGCCGGACATTTTCATCAATACGACCGCGGATCCGCAGTCCGGACGCCCGGACAGAGTGTGAAAAGTGGACACGTCCGGGGAAAACGGGACGTACGGTCACCATAGTCCTCATAAAGCGGGAGATTACATATACAGTATTTTGCTTGTGCCCTTGCTGCCCTGGGCCCTTTAGAGTTCGTGGGCCCCAATTGCCCAGTTGCCCATATGGTTAATCCGGCCTTGCGGGTATCATACCCTGGTGGTGGGAGGTTATGGATCTGAATGAGACTAAATCATTCATGCATTAGTTTTTAATCGGCGCCCCATAGAGAAGATTTACGAGCCGGGGCTATTGGAGCTACTGGTCTCCCAGTGATCTGACAGCCAGCCAATGGGAGCGCAGTCTCGCACGAGCCTGGCGCCTCTCGCGCACGGTGAGCCGGGAGCTGGAAACCGGAGGCGCCCACACACGAGCCGCTCGCGTGCAGCTCGTGTGTATAAAAGCAGCTGGCTGGAGGACTGCCCGCCTCACTGTCATCGGTTCTGAGGGCTGAACGCGGCCGGACTCTCTCCCGGTTCTCCGTCGTCCTGCCACCTCCTGCATGGTTTAAACATGCCAGCCGGTACCGGAACATCACCATCCACCGCAGCTGCGACCCCGGCACGCGACGAGTTCGCCCGGAGCGAGAGCAGAAAGGTAGGCTCCTCTAGCTTCAGCCATAAGCTGCCGTCGTCAGAAACATCTTAAGTCGTTCTGATTGTTCCAGAGCTCTAAACCCATAATGGAGAAGCGGCGGCGCGCGCGCATCAACGAGAGTCTGGCTCAGCTGAAGACCCTGATCCTGGACGCGCTGAAGAAAAACGTAAGAGCAGCGCGCGCTAGTCCAGAGCCACCTCCGCTGGTGGACCCGCTCGCGGTTAACTGGCTCTGGGTTGTCTGTCTCCAGAGCTCCAGGCACTCCAAACTGGAGAAGGCGGATATTCTGGAGATGACTGTGAAGCACCTGAGGAACGTGCAGCGGCTCCAGATGAGCGGTAGGAGCACATGTGGACTTGTTCCTTCATTACCTCACTTCCCGAGCCGTGCTAGGCTGGTTCTGGTGCGCTTACGTCGCAGGGGCGGACCGGGACAGTAAATTCAGGCTGAAACCATCCCGGGCCACCGCTGCCCAGTTAACCAAACCCTAACCCAATAAACGTCATTTCCTGTATTCTGGTGCGCTCCAACTATGAGCTAAGGAGCTGGATTATCACTGAAATAACAACGATAAATACCAGGTAATCAAATCTGACCGTAGATTTTTTAACCAATAATCTCATCCAAGTCACAGCATGACCCGGGCTCTGTTTCACACGGAAAACACTGAAACATCAAAAATGGTAAACCTCCAATAAAATGCTGGATGTTAAACTTGCTGCTAATAATAATAATAATTAATATTATTATTATTATTATAACAGCAGCAGGCGTCTGCGGGCTGGATTAGGATTGAATAGCCAGCTAGCCGATGGATCTCCTAGACTCGGCAGCTACCTGAAAACCTTTGGGGACATGTGGACCGTCATGTCCTGACGACCGCTGTGGCTGGAGCGAGAGCTCTGAGCACATGGAAAACAAGAACCACATATACTGTAACTAAAGGGGAACCAAAGCATCCTCCCAGTTTGTCTTAAAGTTTCATTGAACTACATTAAACGTCATTTTGCAAAGAAAGCAATACAATAGAAAACCACACATTTAGCACGTTGTGACCGTCTGCAGCCTTTCGGTGGGCCGGATGAACGGCCTTGCGGCCGGGAAGTCTCTCGGTGCTCCTGATTGCCAACCCGCCACTGGCTGTGTGTGTATTCTGCATTCAGAATGATTTGTTTTTAAACAATAACATTTTATTTCTAATTTTATGATTATTTCCCTCCCAGACGTGTGTATTTATTTATTTTTCTTCCCTCCAGCGGCTGTAAACACAGATCCCATCATCCTGGCGAAATACAGAGCTGGATTCAGCGAGTGTGTCGGAGAGGTGACTCGTTTCCTGTCCACGTGTGAAGGGGTGAACGGCGAGGTCAGGACGCGCCTCCTTGGCCACCTCGCGGCCTGTGTGACCCAGCTCAGTTCTGTGACCCTTTATGGACCTCATTACAGCGCCCTGGGGCCGGCCCCACCAGTGCTGCTGAATACCAGCTCACAGCTGCACCCGTCCCCCGAAGCCGTGAAGGTGTTCGCTGGCTTGCAGGTCGTGCCCTCTCCTGACGGACAGTTTGCTGTTCTGGTTCCCAGCGCGGCTCTGGCTCCGGTCCAGACTCACGGTACCACCGCGCCTCCCGTCGTCACCTCAGACTCCATGTGGAGGCCTTGGTAGGACTGGAGGACCCTGCCAGCAGCAAGGACAAAAAAAACTTATTTTTGTACATTTTGTTACCATTTTTGAGCGTTTTTGATCCGTCGTGGGGACTGTTTAGAAAAGTTTGTTTGTTTTTTACGAAATAACAATTATAAACTGTATTTTCTATTTGTCTATGACTTCTTTAAGTTCTGTTCTTTACTGATGAATTAAACGTTTTCTCACTAGTTGTGACTGTTACAGCTAACATGAGTGGTTCAGGCTAAAGCTGAAGGTTTCCTACCCCGTGAACCTCGTCTGGGTTTTAGTGAGATGGAAATAAATGTCTAATAGATTCTGCTTTTAAAGGTTGAGATCAAAATCTGATGCTCGACCTTCCGGTTGGCCAGTCATGGATGAAGCTGATTCTACTTATTGTTCTGTTCCAGTTCCCAGCTGGTAGTTTGGGTGTATTTCTACTTTTTAGTGAGGTAAAGAAGCTGAGAGGTCGTGCAGAACACTGAGTAAAGCCGGTAGAGTCCTGTGTGCCCCTGAATGTCCTGAATGTCCCTAGGACAGAAACGCAGGAGGGTCACCAAAGCCCTTGAAACCTCCAGGACCATTCCTGATGTGAACAGCAGCACGGTGTCTGTGCATGATGACTCCGGCCAGATCAGTGCCCACTGTAAGTGTGGGCCAATCATGGACGTAATTTTCACTTTAGAAGGGGGGGGGGGGGGGGGGGTATCTATACAGTATGCTCTAATGGGAAACAGGCTTCAACACAAACGGTTGTTTTCCGCTTGGTCCTAGAGCTCAACCAGTGTCAATTTAATATAGCGTAATATTGTTTTTGGATGGTAAAAAGCGCAGGGGTCAATACTTGACTTTGGAAAAAGTGTGTGTGTGTGTGTGTGTGTGTGGGGGGGGGGGACATGTCCCCCCTGTCCCCCCAAAAATTACGTCCATGGGGCCAATCAAATATCAATACAACACAGCCCATGTAGAAGCCCTAGGGACACTTTGTCACCCTAATAGGCTTTAAAAGTCCACACACAATTAGGCGCATAGCTCTGTTCGGTTTGGCTGAGAGAGGTCTGAGGAGTAACCCCCCCCCCCTCCCCCCCCCCCAATCAGGACAGCCCTTGAGAAGACCCTCTGGAGTAGGAAAAGAAAAGACGGGGCCCTCGGTGGCTCCTCTCTTTGTGACCCTCTATCGTCATAAAGGTCTTTCCATTTGTTTATCCAGGAGAAGGTTTCATGGTCGTGAGGGGGAGGGTCGTGCTGTCGCTCTCACCCGGCTGAAGAAGGCCTATTGTGGCTCGCTCCCCCAGGTCCTCACTGGGCTCCTCACACAGGTTTCTTCTACAGAAACGGCTTCAGCAGAGGGTGTTTCTGTTGTTGGGTTGACTCATCCCAAATGTTTTAGTCTTCCATATTTTTCCAAACCTCAAACGATAACCGTGAAGCAAAGACCTGTCTGTGACATGGGGAATCTCCAACGAGGGTGAACCACCTCCAGCTTGACCCTACAGGGTTATGGTGCTAGGAGGGGGTGGGCAGCAGTGGCTCACATCACAGCTAATGAATGGATTATGCACTGGATATCAATGGTGAAAGAACAATTCTCTTTGTCCATTCAGTCCAATTCATCCCGCTCTGATTTAGCTCGTTGTTTTTTAACAACGCTCCGGCTCAGAGGTGGACAAGAAGCTTCCGGGAGGGAATTTACAATCAGACAGACAGGAAAACACTAGGGGGGAGGAACATTTATCTTTGACCCGCACAGAGAGATGATGGTGCTCCTTTTCACAGACCAACTGCTCTTCATCACCAGTCTCTGGTTTAAACGGGATGTGCTGAATAATGAGAGGCAACGGGGGAAGTAGAGAACAAACTTCCCACCAGGAAAGTCTCTGGACGGTGTCCCAGAAGGGACATTCAGACGGCCGGGTACTCTTCTTTCAGTCCTTCAGTCAGGAGGATTTTAAAAATATATTTATTCACTTGACTTCATCGGAGGTCATTTTGAGCACTGAACAATGTTCGTCACCATCCCAGCAAACATCTCCATTTGGGCCCACCATGGACTTCAGTGGGCTGGTGTGGGCAGGGCAAACCCACACTTACCCCAGAGTTCCCCCACAAGGATCTTGTGTATGGTTGCATGAATGGGGCCCATATATGTTTTCCTATGTGGGCCCCTTTTACATTTAGTTAAGGGCAACCCACAGATGTATCTGCCCAAATCCATCCCATGCTGAGCCCTTGTCGGGTGCCCTAGACCAGCCCAATGGGTGATTGCACATGTGCATTAATGTTGATTATGTCTGTGGGCCCCCCACAGTGGGATCTGCCTAAAACAACCCACAGTGGCCCCATGAGTGTCAGCCCACATGGGGAATCCACGGGTCTGGCCACTTCAATCCAACATGGCGGCCCGCAGTTACACCAGTGTAGCGGAGAAAATGGCGTTTTTAGCCCAATTCACTTGCATTCATATTTTCATTTTTCCAGGGATCCCGGTGGCCCGGAAGTAGATGGGCGCGACTTAGGCTCTCTAATCATTGTCTGTTGTGGAAACCAATAAACATGATGTCCAGGCAAACAAGAGTTTGTACAACTCCAACATACACAAACATTAACCTTCGTTAAACTAGATGAATCGGTTATGTCAGCAACTAAAAATAAGTGGAGTCGAGCACGCCATCCTCTAAGTTTTCCTTGAAGTACGTAATGAGTAGTGATGTGTCGGTCGCGAACGAACCGGCTCTAAGAGCCGGCTCTATCAAGTGAACGACGGGAGCCGGCTTGTCATTGGGAGCCGTCCCCCCCCCCCCCCCCCGAGCAGCAGAGCAAATGCGGGTGGAGGGAGATGAGAGGGAATGAGGAGGAGGAAAAAGGCGAGCGAGAGAGAGGAGAGTGCGACGAAGACGGTGAGAAAATGAGCGCCAGCAGTCGGAAAAAGGAGTTTTCTTGATGTGTTCAGTTATTAAATCCATAGAAATGATAAATATTTTATATATTGCATTTTTTTACATTAGTAAATCATTTTACATATAGATTTGCATTATTTTTGGTGATAAATATACTTTACGCAACAGAAAATCTGAGGAGCCACTTGGGAGCCGAAAGAGCCGGCTCTTTTTGGTGAATTCCCATCCCTAGTAATGAGTCAAGTGACTCCAAACCCTTGACTTAGTATTTTAAACACCTGCTAGTTATCTGAAAACCTGGCAGGATAACCAAAGTGACTTTTGACCTGAGATCGTTGTTAGTTTCTCTACCATTTAGAAGGTATTGGCCAGACTAAATACACTACACTTAACCATCTATATAAATATGAACTGGGTTCAGTTTTTTATTTTGTTACAGAATTTTGTCATAATTCATTACAGAAAATCTAAATCATCCAACCAGCGAAGAACTGTTTCTCATGCGTCACTCCAACATGTAAAACAAGGTAGCTGCTTTTGCTAGCGTGGCAGAGTGGAGTAAACGGCTCCACCTCAATTCAATCAAATTCAGTTCAATTCAAAGATACTTTATTAATCCCAGAGGGAAATTAGAGTTTCAGTACACACAATTCTGAGATCAGACATACATACATAGGCATAGACACATGACAAGAATTGGTGACTGTGGTCATTCACAACCTGAGTCGCGCTACCTTAATAGAGATCAGAGGGTTTATATGAGGATTGGTTCAGGTGGAGGATAAAAAGGCACTTCAGAGTTACCCTCCACAGGGAGGGCAGCTTTGCTCTGCAAAAAAAACACCTCAGACAGAAATGCAACAGACTTCAGACAACACACAACATAAGTGTCCACTAGGTGGGGTGGTAGGGTTTGGGACTCTCCACACATCAGTGCATGCAGCCGCGATAAGCAGCACTTGTCACCTTTGTTTGGACAGGGGAAGGAGGTATTTCGGTTAGGGAGCACAGTGAATCCTGGAAACGATTCAACGGCCTTCACTGGTCGCAATCCCGCCCAGGCTGGAATAGGGAGACAGAGTTTCCATGGCGACGGCAGCATGCCACATTTCTTCTGAGGGGGAGTAATCACTTCAGCCTCACAGGCTCAAGGGCACCAGATTCAGATAAGAACTTGTTTTGGGGCCAGACAGAGATAATTTCCTCTCTGTCTCAAAGTTCTGTTGATCTCCAACCCCTCTGAATCCAATAATGGCATAGATTAATCTATCCCAATCCGTGCTGATCCGTCAACTCTATCCTTGATGGCATCAACCTTCTGTGCCAGAGTCTGAATCTCAGCCAAAGTTCCAAGCTTACGACTCATCTCGACAATTATATGAGTTTGTGCGTTCACAGCGCGGTGTAATCCATCCCTGAGCTCCGGGATTGAGCCAAAATTCCTCGAAAGCTCATTAATTTTCCAGTAATTCAGGTAACCACTCAGGCCAAACAGCAGGAATCCTGACATCAACACCACGAATATCCAGACATCTTCAGAATCCTCGGCAGACAGCTGAGATAAGCAAATCAGGTTCCACTGTTTCCAGGCGTCCATGATATACCCAGCTGCATAGGCGGAGATCCCGGGGGGGGGGGGGGGGGGGGCACTCACACAAAGTCCCCACCCCCACACACACACACACACAAGTTATTGTAAACACATAAATGCTATCAGTAAACCTGTATTGTCTTCCAAAACCACAACGTAAAAGTTAGTCTGCAAATACAAAACAATGTGTTTTTAATTGTTGAGAAATTATAGTCCACCCCCCACCCCCCACCCCCACCCCCCAATTCCTCAAGTTGGTACGGTCGGTCAACACGCGCTGTTTCCAACGGGCGGGGCTGCCGGCTCTGCCCCGCTCACAGCTTCACGGCAGCCCGCGGCAGGCTCACAGGAGGCGGGAATCAAAAAGCCAGCGGTTTCCAGCAGTAAGTCATTTATCACACGCTTGTTCTACAAACTTAAATATGTATGTCAGATGTGGTCATAAATGTCAAACATAGACACCGATTATCTTTAGATTTTGATCACCGGTCGGAGATCCCTTTATGACAGACCACCACCACAGTAAAAAAAAAGTTGTCACTTCTTGTTCTCTGGTCATTCCAGGATTATTCTGCTATTATTATTCCATTCACTAAGGTGACCAAAAGTTCCTTTTTCCGGACACGTACGCTTTCACGGTCTGCCCTAGGAATCTGCGGAGCATTTATAGATCGATGAAAATGTTCGCGTTTCATCCTATTTAGCAGATGAATATGGTAGA